CAAGCAGTTTTCTGTTCTCCCTCAAGTGCTCTGGGCTGAGAGGATGTGTCTTTGTCCTTCCTGCATGTTAATAGTTATTATGGTTCCCGCTAATGGTTTTATAGTTGGTCAGCATAGCACAGGCAGCACCTCAGCAGTGCTTAGGATGGCCATGGTTGGTCCATGTTGAAGGCTCTTGCTATTCCTTGATGCTCGCAGTGCTGTGCTGCTTTGGTTCCTGAAGAGACTCATGGCCTGCTGCAGGTGATACGTGCTATGGTTCACCTTCTGCCTAAGCTTGCCTTAAATTCACTTTATCCCAATATTGAGGTTCCAGGTATTTCATTTTGACATGAAGAGCAGCAGATTATTTTCTTATCAGTCCCTGGCCTTGTGGAGCTGCACAGCACCCTGATAGTGTTCTGCAGCTCTGCTCAGCCCTGACAGGAGCTGCAGAAATGTCTCCGGCAGGGAAGTCCTCAGAGGAAATAGGAGGGATGATGTTGGTTTTGATCCTCTTGAAGGGACCTCCAGTTCACATTTACAAGAAGTGAGCATGGCGTACAGCGGCCAGAACTAGAGGAGTCCTGCCTCCAGCCAGGTAGAGAAAAGGGACCATTGGATCTACTGGACTGTGTGGATCCGTGGCACATCAGAGCCACAAGCACATAAGGCTTTAGTTGGCATTACTGCACTGTGTACCCCAATTCCATCCAGATATGTAGGGGCAGAATCCAGCTCCATTTCTGCAGTGACAGGAGGATCCCAACAGCTGACTGTACTGGAAGCTGAAGTGAGCCTGACTGGAAATGAATGGCAAAACCAGCCCATTGTGCCTGGCCCAGAAAGCCCGTATATCCTTGGCACAGATGGCCTCAGGAGAGGGTATTTCAGGGACCCAAAAGGGCGTTGTTGGGCTTTTGGGAGAGCTGCTGTGGAGACAGAGGAAATTGGGCAGCTGAGTACCCTGCCTGGTCTCTCAGAGCCCTTCTGCAGTAGGACTGCTGAGGGTGGAAGAGCAACAGGTAGTGATCACTGCCATACCAGTGCCCTGACAGCAACACTGCACCAGCTGGGACTGTGGAACCCCATTCATGGAATGAGTTGAGAACTGGAGAGCCAGGGAGTGCTCAGCAGGACTTACCCATCCTTTAGTAGTCCTCAATGGCCTCTATGTCATTGACAGCACAGGTGTCATTTACTGCTTTCCAAATATGTCTCACAAGATGTTGCATTGAATCTTCCTCTTGTCATTATTTATAAACAGGAAAAAGGGTCAATGAAAATTAGATGATTAGCATGTCTTATTCTGTGATAAGAATATATATTGTCATGATAACATACAGAGTGAAACGTACAAATCCCTCCTCATCTCAAATGGGAAGACAGCCTGGAACAAATCCCAACAAATTATGTCTTTCATATTCACACAGATGAACTTGCTGCTGCTGCTTCTAAATTTCTATTCAGTTCAACTGCTTCTTTGCAAGCTTCTGTGTTACTTCCAGACTTTGCATTTGACCTCCTTGAATGGCATTTAGCCATGGTTTCCTACATGTGGGGAGACCAGCTGCCCATGTGCTTCTGGAATGAATCTTTTCCGTAGGGCAAACAGTTTTGCAACATTACCCTGCTGAGATAACAATTAATTAAGCAGTTTCTTCATAAATTAGGAGGTAGGAGTTGTGGTCTTCCTTTAAGACCATTGCCTGTACTGAACTTCCAGATGACCCAAAGAAGTATTCCCCGAAACTTGTGCTCTGTGTGTGACCCAGAACAAATAGAAGTCACATTCATCCCAGTGTTACCACTCTTGTGATCTCAGCAGACCTAGAAGACCAAATGTCTGGAGGAGACACTTCTGGTGTGGACCTGCAAGCACAGCCAAGCACTCCACTTTTCCTGCTCCCTTCTCCCATGGAGGCTGGAGTACTGTTTGCAAACTGAAATGATGCTGTTGCTGCATCCCGTAGGCACTTTCCTGCTCTGTGCAAGCTTGAGTGTTTCTTCCATACACAGTGTAAGCTTTGCCGTTTCAAAGATCTAATCTAATAATAGATTGGTCTACATTTCTGGCATTGCCAGAAAAAGGCATATGTTGTCAGGCAGTCGAAGTCAGCAACAGTGCTTAAGTGGAAATGTGCTTAAACACTGAGAAGGCAGAAATCCAAAATAATCCATCCAAGGTTTGGCTATTAGGAAACTAAAAATACTGTCTTCCTACATATAGGGTTTCCACATGTACTTAGAGAAATACTGTTTGTCTGATGTCTCAAAATTATTAAAGGGTAATTCTTTTTCTTTTTTGGCTTTGGTGTGATAATAGAAGATGCTGTTTGCATTCCGCTTATTGAAGACTGAGTAATTTCTATTTCCTCTTCTATTTAAGAGGAAGTAGAAATTATTGAAATAACTCAAATGGAAGAGGCATGTGTAGTGTAATGTGGTAGGGAGAGATGACACTGAGTTCCTTTTTTCTATCACACAAGGTTTGCAATTCCAATTTTTCAATTTTAGATTTCCTCTGGGAAAAGAATGCATCATTGGCTTGAACTAAGTGAATGTATACCACAAGAACCACTGGTCTCTGTGCTGGTGAAAGACTTCACTTTTAAATTCAGATGACTCTGTGGTCCTGACCTTTTACAGAACTGCACTGAGTTGGGGATTGGGCTTTGAGGTGGTATATGAAGATACAAGGTTTTGACATGAGTTCTGAGGCAGCAATTATGGGATTTTATGTGTACATATCCCTGAAATATCAGCATATTTAGATGTGTGGCCAGAAACTGGCATCTGTCTGAACAATCATTCTTCTGCTGAAGTCAGTGTGTGCACACAGACACATATTACTGTTCTAGTAAAAAATTATTCTATAAATGCCATCTCAGATCAGGAAAGGTTAGGTTTTTAATATTAATGTTTTCTCCTTTAGGACCTCTAGTTTCTTCCTACTCAGCATGTGACTCAGGCAGTAGTAGCAAAGAGTTTTATTTCAGTGACTTCTCTGGAGAATTCACCCACTGTAACAAATACTTCTGCCTCCTGGAACCCACCTGAAGCAGCATCCCAGAAGTCCTTTTTGCCCAGCTTGTATTACCCCTTGCACTAGGAGCAGCCTGGTGCAGTTTAGAAGTGATGGTAAAAAAATGGAGCTGCTGCTGTTTTCTGCTTCTTTTGGCACTATTCCTGGAGAGAGTTGAGTCGGTAAATGTGGCTGTCACAGCAGCTATTACCAATGACACAAAATAATTAAGTTGTGGTTTCTTTTGTGGTGGGATTATGGCTGTATTTTATAATGATATGTCTGTGCTAAGAGGGAGTGTTATGCTTGATTGTTGTGATGAATGCTTCCAGGAAAACAGGACAGGTCTCTAAAGGCAGGTTGTCTAATACTTTCCATGTACATGAAATCCTGTTGGTTACATGGCAGACCACTAATTGAACTGTGTGTTGTTTCCTCTCAGTTTTCTGATGAGGTGATGAGGAGGGCAGCATCCATCTCATTTTTCTCCCTGTTGCTTTTGGAGGGGATAGCTGCTGTTTGTTCTTTTCAGCCAGTCAGAAGAATGCTGAAGCCAGGTTTTCATCTGATTCTTTATGAAGCAATGCTTTCATTTTTTGATGTCTTGAGACACCAATATGGGGTTCCAGACTTTTGAAAGTCTTGAAGACTTTTTGGACACAGATGCTCAGCAGTGCTGAGAAACCCTGGTAGTCCCTGGTTCTTGAATCCTGCTGAATTGTGCTTCATGCAGAAATTACACTGTGAAGATGCTGTGCAATCTGGGGGCCTTGAGAACAGTCTCTATTTTTCTAGTATTTAAAATATTTTCTGTAAGTTGTCTCAGATAAATTTGAGAGTATTGTAGTGTAATGGTGAAATCCTGCTCTTTTGCTCTTAGAGACGCATGCTCTCCCTGCTGCACCCAGTTTAGAGGGAAAAATTTCTCCTGGTCTTAGGCAACAAACACAGTCAGTCCACATGCTCTGGCATTCTCCTGGAGGGGCAGGGAGCCCTGTGGGTGTCGAGGATGCTGGCCAGCACTGTCCTGATGCTCTGCTGAAGGTGAACATGAGCTTGCAAAATGTCATGCTAACCTTCCTGCCATTGCTGGGGACCAGCTAGATAGAAGCTGGGGTTTTTTCAGTAGATGTTGATGTACATATGTTGGTGTGTCAGGGGAAAAAAAAATCTTTTCAACTATATGTAGTGTTAAGCCTTAAGGCTGAAGCTTTTTTTGTTTGTGTGTCTGCAGTGGAAGAATCCCATGTCACATTTGATTTGTATCTGCTGTTAGAGGTGACATTGTGTTAAATGGTGAACGAGCTGGGGGTGCTGCACTGCACGTGGCCTGTGATGTCAGAAGATGGAGCAGAACAGAGGCCACAGGGGATGGGGTGGGGGGACAGCTCAGCCTTGTGTCCATTGCCTTGATGGCTGCTACCACTCTTCTTCACCAGGAGCACCCAGGAAGGGGAGGGGACCAGCACAGGAAATTGGGATGCTGTCTGCTGGTGGCAAAGGCCTCTGAAGGAGGAAGAAGAGATACTGGGGCTTGGTTGGGAGGTTAGATGTCCAACCTTGATAAGGCAAGAAACTTCAGTGGGCAGAAGGTGTATGTGTGAACCATGGAAATGCTTTTGGAGCGTGCTTGAGTGAGCAGTCAGTGAGCAAAGTTTTTTGCTTTGTGTCAGTGCAACACAGCAGGTCCTGGATGCAATGGGAAGCCTTAAGGGATATGGTAATTAAGTAACTAAGAACTAAGTAATAAAAATAATAAGAGTGTTACCAGCTTCATTGTGCATAGGCAGGCAGCAGGGAATATGGGTCACACAGTGTGAGCTACCCAGAAATAAAATCCAGGTCTGTTAATGCCTCAGGCCTCTCCATAAACATCAGACTGTGACTCTTTCCTTCAGCACAGCTTGGATGGGAAAGAATTTCCATTTTAGGTGGAAGATGAGGCTCTGCTCAGTCCAGGTGCTAATCATGTTTTCCTGCTGTTTGCCTTTGCCAGGTGCAAGTTCTTCAGCCTCACAGAAACCCCTGAGGACTACACCATCATAGTGGATGAAGAGGGCTTCCTAGGTAAGTGTCAGCACGTGCCACTTCGGTATCCAGCATGGGGTGGATCAGGAAAACATGTCATCTCACTGAGACTGTAAACCAAAATGTTTGTAAAACAAGTCTGTTTGTAAATGCTGGTAGTACAGCTCTGAAAGGTGCTTTGATCACTTGAGCACGCTGTCTCTGCTGCCATGCTGTACAAGGCAATTCAGACATGGAATATGAATATATTTGAATGCTGGGAGAGGATCACACACAAGTCTTAAAGAGTAGTTTAAGCAGGTTTGAAAAAGCAAAACCCTCTGCGTATGATTGCATTAAAATGAGCTGGCCTGTGTCCCCAAGCCTCCATAAGTATACCACATCTTGCATTTCCAGCTTCTGTGAACCCCTGTCTTTGAAAGGAGCACTTGTTTGTGTCATCCCTACAGCCTGCACAATGCTGTGGAGTTGTGACTGGGCTCCTTTGGCACATCTGTGTAAGCTGTGATTTATCCCCCTTTCTTGCACCCAGCTTTCCCTGTACTAAGTGTGCCATCTTTACCTGGGGTGACTGAAGAGGTCAAAGGTGGAGTTGGTCATATGTCACAGAAGGTGGTTGGCATGTGCTTGAGAGCTGCAGATTCTTGGCATTGTGCAAGAGCTGATGTAGAGAATGGTTTGGCTTTGTAAATGGAAATAGTTTGTAATAACCTTTATCATGTGTGGAGGTTTTGTTTGTAACGGTGTTATTGAGTTGAGGGAATGAGGAAGTGTTGGGCAGCTGTTATTATTTTTGTTCTGTTACTCTTTCTGTGTTTGGAATTAAAAGTCTACACATTTTGAGGTCAGAGAAAATTCATTAAAATATGAAAAAAGAGTATTTCATTCCTGAATAGGAATTACCTCTTGTGACACTGTAATATTCAATGGTTTTGTAATATACAAACTACAGGAGAAAATTTGAAACTACAGCATCTTTAGTACAGAGTTTTATGATCAGTAACCTTGCTGAAGCTGGCCCTTTTCTGCTTCAGGAATACTCACAAACATGATAGAACAAGATACATTTTAGACCAGTACACTGGTACCTGAAGACTTTAATAAATTAATCACTAGGCTGAGAATGTTGACTGGATCTTCACAGCTGTATCTGTTTATAATTTGGGAGTTTTGAGGTTTGATTGAAAGTCTATGCCATGTACTTTTGATCCCAGAAGAGGTGACAGAGGGTTCTGCTGCCAGAGTGTCCCATGTTGTATTTTTTAAGGGGCTTGTGCACAAGAATTTTACTTCCAGTGGTAGTATCAGCTTTTTTGTTATCAGTGGCAGCTGAGGAAAATCAATTCTAATTTGCTTTTGCCATGACAGTAGGATGCAGAGCCTCCCTCTAACAGCTTCATTTTAAGTGAAGGCTCACGGAGAAGGAGAAAGTTCCTGGATTATTTTTTAAGGGGCACAGCAAGAAACCCAGGGATTCTCATTCTTGGGAGGGAGTCTGTGTCACTGAACCTGCAGGTGGGATGTTCCAGGGGCTTGCTCATCTCCAGCACTGTGTCTGTGACTGACATCCATGGCACTCATTTCTCTGCCCAGCTGGCATGACACAGATTTTTCAATTCAGTCACTGGTGACAAGCTGAATTGGAACCACCCCTGGAGTCTCCAGCAGCCACACTGCTGTTTATCTCTCTGGAAGTTATACTACTTGAAACAAAGGTGAGCTCAAGCAGTGGTCTGGCTCATCCATACTGAGGGACTGTTGCACTGTGTGCCATTGGTTGTGCTCAGAGCAAATCCCAGGTCTGGCACAACCACTGTCCCAAAGAAGCTGCACATCCCAGGTTATCTTGTGAACCAGGCAGTGCTGCTGCAATTCAAAGCAGCAGTCCTCGTTGCCTTGGCTCTCTCTGCCACCTGAGCTTGGTGCTGAAAGTCACAGTGCCCACCTACCTTCCTGTGGCTGTGGTTTGGGGACAGAACAACCTGGTTTTTTTTCAAATACACTGTGTGCAGTTGGGCTTCTAAAGCAGGGCTTTGCAGGAGACAAGATCAACTTCCAGGTAGTGCATGGGAAGGAGGGAGTATGCTAAGGCCATCCTCTGCTACAGCATGGTGTGGAAGCCAGGTGCAAAACCCAACCTAGTAGTAGTGTCACAGGGCTGCTGGCTTCATCACCTTTTCTGTGCTTTGCCTTCTAAGTGATGATCTGCTGGTGAGACCTGTATACATCACATCCTGCTAACTCTTCTGTCACAGCCCCCATATCCTTTGGGTTTGTGTCCAGCCCATGTTCTTCTTTATGAATTGTCAACACCACATCCAAAGCTTCATCTCAGGGTTAGCCCTGCGTGCTGTTCCATCCCTGCTCCTCAATTCAGTGTGGTGTAAGTTTTTCATAGTCTGGAGAAGTCCAGGAGAAGTCACAGTCTAGCTAGAAATGTCTCAGTAAGAAAAAGTTCACTTTGTATAGCCCCTAATCAGCACATGGACTTGAACAGAATCAAAATCTCTGAGTTGCAGCATCCCACCTTCTTGCAAAACAGCACCAATTATGTCTGCCTCGAGTGCATCAGCTGCCTCTTGTCCTGAGTAGTGAAGTGCCAAATTCAGCTCAAGAATTACAGGGTAGATCTGCACCTTTGATGAGCAGTTCAGATAGCAATTCCAACAGTAAATGACTTCCTTTTTCTTTTCAGGTAACTTTTTTTCTTGCAGTGCTTAGCAAACTCAATGTAAGTCTCTGAAGGATAGGTTTTTCTGGGTGGGAAATGAGAACCTTTCTTTCTCAGGCGCATGTATGAATTCCTGCTGCAGCAGCAATGAGAAGGTTCTGTTAGCTGGCATCTTCCATGATAGCCAGGCCCTTTCTCCTGCACATCACAAATACCACTGATGGGAAAAGAGCAGGCTGAAGACACACCAGCACTTTTATCAGTCCTTGAGGTTAACACTTGAAACATACTGACATGCAGTAATCATTCCTAACTACTTTGTCAAAAAATAATCCCTAGGCTTGTTCCACCGCGAGCAGCAAGTTGGGGTGGTAAAGCAGTCATTCTTTTTTCTCCCCAGAAAATGTGCACAGTGCAATGCTTAACCTGCTTAAGCATTCATCATACTGAAAGGGAATGGCTGCAGCCTAATTATTTGCTTTTATTCCCTGGTGGTGAGGTGGGGATTATATTTGCACAGAACCTTGTTTGTTCCAGTGGCTGTTTCTTGGGCTTTGGCCTGCTAATGAGAAAGAATTTTATTCAGCAAATAACCCAGGGAACTGTGCGCAGAAATCTCTTTTCCTGGCTGATACAGAGATGAACTAGGAGGAGAAGTTTGACCATGGACCCTCCTGCATGAAGACAAATATCTCAGGTAGTGGGGTGCTTGGATAGCCATGTATGGTCCTGGCATTTATCCCCCTGCTGCACAGCCAGCACATGGCAGAAAGGTGGAGTGGCTGCTGCTCCCTGAAATACAGGAATATTTGTTTGGCTGGTGTGCTTTTTCCCCCAAAGTTTGGCTGAAAGCAGGAGCTGTTAGTGCCTGTGCAGATATGCCCCAGCCCTGTGTTCTCTGCATGGTCTGTTCCTTTTTCAGAGAGCAGCAAGGACACACTCGCTCTCTCTGGGCAGCTGCATGAACAGACCTTCTAGCCTGTGGGCGTGCTGGTTCCAGTGGTCTCTGTTCATCAAAGGTTTTAGCTTTTACACACTGAATTGAAACACATGGCTTCACACCTGGAGGTAGCCATCATCTTGGAAACCCTGTTTATATGCACTGGGAACATCTGCATAAGTGGGGCCTGGGACAGTCTGTCACCCAGGTGAAGCTGTCCTGAAGATGGATTATTGTAAAGCAACGTGTTGCTAACATTTTCAAGGTGAGGTTACTGGCTTCCCAGCCTTGGCACCTGGTTGATGTCCCTTGCATGCAATCAGCCATGTATGCAGTGAACTTTGAAGATACTGAAGAAGGGAAAAAGAAATCAAGTGCTAGAGTCAAGGGAGGAGTGAATCACTGTGATTTTCAAATTGGTAAATGTGCATATTCTAGGTTCAGGAAAATTTGGGGTGAGGGAAACACATCACCTGCATGTACTCTGGTCTTCTTTCTCCTAGAACTGCCCAAGCTCATTTCATGTAGATTACTGTAGGCAGCAGACCTTACGTCCTAGGTGATCTCTTCTGGATCAGAACCAGAGAGGTTCCAAACCAAAGCTGTTTCACTTCAGTACTGAAGCAACATTGTTCTGAGATGCAGATCTACTGTGCAAACACAGAGCAAGACTCTTGGTCTCCTCACACTGAGGTTTATCTCCAAGATGGGCATGACAGTCCTTCCTTAAACCTTCTTTGGCTGCCTAATCTGGCTGGTAACTTCTCTAAGGCCAGAAATCCATTCACTGACACAGTTTCTAGGAGGAAATTCTTATTCTCAGCTCATACTTCATAATAAATTGTCCAGTAGATTAAAAATAATGGAACTATTTGAACTAACTCAGCTAGTTATAGTGGCAGAAAAAATCTCATTCTAATAAGAAAAGGATAAAAATGAAAAAAACATCTTGCTGTCAGTGCTTTGTTTTGATAACCATCATCGTCAGACAACCCTGTCTGATCTTGGATTCAGGACCATCATATACTTTAGTACCACACTGAGTTCCTATTTCAATAACATCAAAATGGTAAATTGCTTTCAGTGTCCTCTCTCTTTTCCTGTATATAAACTGGATGAAAAAACAGTTTATAAATAAGTCCAAGCACAGAGCCCATCTAGCTAAGAGCAATCTTTATTTAAGAGGGAAGCAAGCTAATAATTGCATCTGGTTTTCTGAATATTCCTTCAATAACTATTTTTTATTTAATTTTTGATTGCCCAGTGACTAGGCCTTTGTATCTGAGGCACAGTGGCATAAGTTGCTTGCTGACATTTATAGTGTTAGATTCCTCCCCCAGACGGCCAGGAGTGCCTGTGGTTGCTAGGCAGAACGTGTTTTTCTCTACGAAACACTTGTACAATCACTCTCTTCTGATCTCTGTATTG